GCGGTGGGATTAGCTAATAGCATAACATAATCCAAGGAAGCGTTTTTTGAGACAACAACTATATGTTTATTATGAATTATTCAATTCATTGTCTTCTCAGATGGTTTCTGCACTTTCTGTTGGCTTGTTTCTTGTATATATCTTCTCTGGATTTTTTTTTTTTTTTTTTTGGTTGCCCCAGAAGCGTCGGTTTTGTATATATCCATAACAAAAGGTATACAAGAGGTGTACATATTATAACAAAAGGTATACAAGAGGTGTACAATTATCGGGTTAGTACCAGGATCTCAGCCCTGGCTTGTGTGTCAAGCCAAGTGGGGGAAACTCTCTGTTTCCACCTTACGTCATCTTGAGGCAAATTTTGCCTTTTTATTTTTTTTTTTAGAAATAATAACTTTTGTATAATTTAATCTATTCTACCTTAGGAGAGAGGGACAGACTCAAGGAATCAAGTTTTGCCATTGAATGACTAAAAACTGTAGGCACGGTAACCATTCTTCAATTTAACTATGCCCTCTAAGAATACATTCAGATAACTGCCATCTATACATACCTTGAATTGATTCTGTCCGCCAGCTGCTTGCCATCCTTTTTTCTTTTTCTTTTTGTTTTTAAAAATTCATTTTTTATAAAAAAAAGTTTGGATGTATTGGCCACCACTGTAAGTGCCTGTTTGATAACATAAAAAAGTGCTGAAACTGAATTCATTCAGACATTCAGATGTTGTGGGTGTTTGATAAATAAAAATTCACCTGCTGAACTTATTAAGTGGTACTGAATTTGTATGTATTTTTTTCAGCACAAGAATCGTAGCTGAATGCTTAATTTGATAAGAATCAAGAAATTTATTTCAACTACTTTATCTTATCTATCAAATATATCCCTGTTTGTTAATTACATTCAAAATCCTTATCTAATTAAACAACCTAATATTTCCTATTTAAAATCCTTATCTAATTAAACAAAACAACCTGATATTCTCTATTCAAAATTTTTTTTTAACAATAGTATTTTTTTGCAGTAATTTTCATCCACAAACATTTATATTTTGATATATATATATATTTTTTGTACAGATAAATATTATTTATGTGATACAACTTATCCACACACACGTGGCTTTATGACACCATATCGAAATATTAGATATTGGTTATTTGATTTTCGAAATGCTTCTCGTCCAAGATCAAAAGTATAACGCTTTAACCAAGCACATGCAAGATTGAGAAATGTAATTGAACATGCTTTTGGAGTATTAAAAGCTCGTTTTCCTATTTTCAAAACGATGAAACCATACCCTTTTCCCACACAAAGAAATATTGTCATTGTATGCATTGCTCTTCACAATCATTGTCATTTTCATACCTAACAATTTTAAATTAATTAAATCATAGGTTCTATTTCCTTTTTGGATTAAAAGATAGAAGGGCAAAATTGTACAATTTAGCTTCTTAAGCATTAAGTTATGAATATTTATCAAACAGTATAAATAGATTCAGCATTAAGATTCAGACATTCATATATCTCTTTTCAGTGCTTAAAATTCAGCAAATTAATTATTTCAGTATTCAGAATTCAGAGTTCAGAATTCAGAATTCAGATTCAGTGTTATCAAACGGAGCCTAAGTCAGAACATGATCTCTAGAACTATTAAGCCCGTTTATATAAAGTTTTACAAATCGCTCGTCAACACAATTCTTAGATGGATGATAAGATTCGAACACTTGCAATATAGATAGAAAGATTACTTTGTTCCGTCCTTTCCCTCGAGCTTTTTTGTATTGCCAGTCTTAAAGCCAAGCCTCAGCATTCGCGTCTTCTGCGGATTGACAAGGTGCATAACATCGATGGATGGATCGGCCCTTCAATCTTCATCATTGTTAATATAGTGCGGAGGTTTGCCAGTTGTGTCTGAAACCAATTTGATGTGGCGGTGACAAATAAGCGAGTGGGTCCAGAACGGTGGTCACGTTGGTTGCATGTACGCCACGTAGGAAGCAGTAGTAAGAAATAAATATATATATTTCTGAAATTCCAAACTAGAACCTCTTGTCTACTAGAAAGTGGGCCAGAGGTTTTGTTGTGGGTGGTGACCTGGTGAGAGAAGAGATACCTAGCAATACCGCATATGGATGGAGGAATGAGGACGAGGACGAATTTTCATGATTACCAGAAACGCAAGCATTCTCAGACCTTTTTGTGTAGTTTCATAATTCATTCCCCAGGAAACACTCAAACTTGGAACCAAACCCCCCTCAGATTCTTCTAACAACCATCCCATACGTCACGTCACAGACAACCCTATCTCCAATCATTTTTTTCTACTTTCTTTAACTTTTTCAATCATTAACTCACTTTTGTAACGCCTCTACAGTTTACAGTAAAATGAAGATGAAAAAAAAAAAAAAAACATGGTTCCCCATGTGGCATTTTAACTGTTAAAGAAAGGGGAAAAGGTGCGATCTGGGCATCCTTGACAGAGCCAAGAGTATCAAACGCTATGGGGGGTTTCGTGGAGATCGACGGGAAACTCTGTATTAAGTTTTGTTTCCGGTTTTAGGACTGTGAGGGGCTGCGCGGGAGGCTCCCGACAACGAAAACGTTCGTCCAGGGCTGAAGTTCTTGTGGCTTTTTGGCATTTGATTGCCTCCTCGTACTTGAAACCTGAGATGTTTTTAGACTTTCAGTTGAAAGGAGATCTATGAACTTAAGGGCATAAACGATGTCGAACAATAAATTGGATTTAATGTCTTCATTACACTTCGAGTTGTTCGATGATTTTATTTTAGAACCAACGTTAGTTCTGCCTCAAAATAGCTCTTCATTCTTTTGGAATATTATCTTCATATGCTATATATATATATACATATGTGTGTGTGTGTGTCAGTGTAAATTTGCCAGGTTGAATGCCAGTAATACCATGCTCCACAATTAATCTTCAACTCCAGTTCTTAATAAATTGAGTTTGAGGGAGTTGGATCACTTTATAAAGCTTCCGCTTAAGATCGTGGTTAAACCATACACATAATCATCTCTGAAAGAGTGCCAAGAAAATCGTATTCCCAGGAAAAAATGAGGAAAGCACTCCTTATTTCTTTTGGCAGCGCAAGTAGATCAGCTTGAGATGTTCTTCATTCAGCACATCACATCAGGGACAAGAACATCCGCCATCCTTAAAAAAAAAATGAAGAACGAAAGAATCAACCAAAGCCCAAGTGGAACTTGGACCAAAAGGGCTGCAACTGCTTTTTCGGTTCGTTATCGTCAGGATGGCAGCTTGCGGCTCTTCGCTGCAGAAAACCAATAAAATTATGCCAAAAATTCATTGCCAAATTGACAATATTCTATGTATGCGTGTGTATTTGTTCCCACCACAAAATTAATCCTCCTAATGCACCTTCTAATACCTTCAATTCTTTTTCTTGGATTGCTGTATTCTGTGAGCGTGATCAGTGATACTGATGTCACCCAGCCAACAGTAGTATTTCTTTGCCTCTGAGAAGACCAAATATGAATAGTTTACACGAAAATTACAGTACCTTCGCTGCAAATTTTTTCCCCCCTTAACCAGTTCTACAAGAGAGGAGAAAAAAAAAAAGAAATGAAAAAGAAAAAAGAGCAAACCCTTATTCGGATGCAATGACTTCTTGCATACGTAAACTACGAGTGAATTAATGCAGTACAATTGCTACAAAATTCGTAATATGGACCCATAAACTAAACAGGAAAAGGAAGCTATTTATTCTATTTAGTCTGAACTGCAATAGGGATGCTAGAAAGGCATATACCATCGTTCTTATCCGTTGTTTAATATATAAGCGAAGCATTCGTTTGTTTGTTTGCGCCTTTTTTTTTTTTTCCCCTTTTCCCCTATGCAGCCATTTTGCCACTTCTGGTTCCATGCCACCATTTTTCTACGGTTCCAATTTTCTGCATATACAATGATTCGAGTCATAGTAAAAACGATACATAATTCAGTGCAAATGAGCGGGATTCACAGGCACAGCCTCACCAGTAATGATCCTGGTTGCATTTGTTTTGCCATGAATGTAGACATCGGCTCATAATCCTGGAAGGGGATGAGGTAGAACAGGATTAATACGCCCAACCGGTGAATGGCTGCAAGAATTGAAGGCTTTAATTAAAGCATGCAAGCCATATTCAGATGCACAATGCCACCTCCTGTTCGCCGATTATATTTCCCAATGCAGGCGAGCTTTTTCCAATATACAACACACTTAAAATCACCTAATGGGGGAAAAAGGTCGCAACTCTTGTAATCGTACGTTATAAGAAGTAAAACATGTAAAAGTAAATTCATCCAACCAATTATAAATGATTTAGGCCAAACATCAGGAGAAGAATGAGATATGGGAGTGGTAATTCATGCAGATTTGGAGGGTGAGAGGAGTGGTAACTCATGTTAAACAACACGCACTTTTTTTTTATGGAAAGTGAGGAGGTAAAGGCTGAAGACAGCTGCTGTAAGTGTGAAAACATGAGATTTACATGTAACTCTCGTGTGATTTTGGCCCTTAATAATGATTATATCTAGTCACAAGATTACAACAAACAAAGCACAAAACTTATCCTACTCTCTTCACAAAAGAGAAAGGGTTATAAAAAGGTCAGTAAAGGGAGCAAATTCAATTAGCATCTTTTTAGTTCACACTTGAACTGATCGGAGGTAACCTGGTTTCTGATGCAGAGATGAGTGGTGCATGAGATGGGTTAAATAGGTTTCTTACTGGCAATGGCATCCCAGCCCCCAGTGTAATTACAAGGCAAATAATGCGTAGGGTCCATCATGAGTATCCGAGTAGGAAAGTGGGGCCCCCTTGAGAGATAGAGAAGGAAGAACACTCTTTTCATTTTTAATTAATTTATTTTGGGTACTTGCTGCTTACTGCTTTCTTGAGCTAGCAGCCGTTTTTTTTTTATATATATATATTGAAGCCGGTAACGGCATTTTGGCTTATGATTGTTTTTTGGTCTGTTCCTAATTGAGGCACCGGCCAAGCGAATCAGCATTTTATTTTTCTACGACCTTGTGAATATATATATTTGCTTGGATTGCCACTGCCACCCCGGCCAACCCTTTAAAGGCCTGCGCCCTCTATCTTCACCATAACTCTTTCTTCCTCTTCCCTTGCACCCTTTTCCTTCTTATTTTGTCCCGCTTCTCCTTTCTTCCTTGTTCTCTTTTACAATCTGCACACGTATCAGAAGCAAGAATATATATATAGTCTCTATTGTCTATATTTCTGTAACTTCTGTTCTTTCTTTGTTAAAAACTTCCTTCTCATCCATGTCTGACGGGGGTAGCCAGGATAACTTCCTTTGGGATAATGAGGTATGGGCGTTATCAAACTCGGATAACTCGGGAAGAAGTGATGAAAACCAACCTGCTAAGAAGTTTAGCGAATCCAATAATTCAAACTGTCCCACTCCGAGGGAAGCTGAGCCCAGGGTTGGGCCATCCTTGGGGAAGAGGAAGAGAAAAAATGGAAAGCAGCCTAGTGTTGAAGGGAATGATCAGGCTGCTGAAGGGAAAGGCGGTGCTGGAGCAGATCATGAGTTGCATATATGGACAGAACGAGAAAGGAGGAAGAAGATGAGAAGCATGTTTTCTAATCTCCAGTCTTTGCTTCCTCAACTTCCTCCTAAGGTAGGTAACTCATGCATCGATGTATGTAAAAATGTTTAATTTGATTAAACCATCAATTTTCTCCCTTCGACACTAGAGTCCTCTATTTCCCTCCTTTTTGGATAACCCTCTCTCTTCGAGTTTTGATCGGACAAAGTTGTAATCAGTTATGTTCTCAAAAGAAAGAAGGATATATCAAAAGGCACCTTTCGTGACATACTACTATATGAGCAGTTTGTTCGGCTTTTCAAGTTCAGTTCTTTCTGCGAAGCCAACAAACCAAAAAAAAATAATAATAATAAATTGAAGAAGAAATTGATTATCTATTAACGAATTTTGGAAACATATAGGAAAATTCATGACTCGCTTCATCTCGATCAAGTCATTTTTGTCACGGTTGTACAAGGAACCGAAGCTCACAGGATGGCTTTGCATGGATAGACGGCTTGAGAAACTAGCAGCCTCTGTTGAAAGGCACTAATCTTTACCTAGGAGTGCCATAAATCTCCTTGGATGCCTTCTCTCTGAGTCCATGAAATCAATCTTGACGTTTATCCTCCTCTAGCGATTAAAAAATTACTAGAAATCAAAGAATTGTTCATCATGTATATGATGTTTTTCTTGGGGTGGTAATTGTCACTGATTTTTTTTTTTCAGGCTGACAAGTCAACTATTGTTGATGAGGCAGTAAACTACATCAGGTCACTGCAACAAACACTTCAGCGGCTTCAGAAGCAAAAGCTGGAAATGATTCGTGGCCTGACAACGATCAATTATGACCCTTCTATGATTACACCACACAGATTAGCCATGGATTCGAGGGAGGCATTTTTAGCTGATCAGGGATCTTCGAGCCAACTGAGTTCCAACCCGAACCCACTCGGGGTTGCTAGATTTCCTACTAGTTTTCGAACATGGGCTACTCCAAACATGGTCCTCAATGTATGCGGTGACAAAGCACACATCAATATTTGCTGTCCCAAGAAGCTCGGACTCTTCAGTGCCATTTGCTACTTCTTGGAAAAGCATAAGCTAGAGGTTGTATCTGCTCATGTTTCATCTGACAATTATAGGAGCTTGTACATGATTCAAGCCCAAGTAAGTAATCTTCCTTCTGTTTGTTTCCAAAAAAAAAAAAAAAAATTCGATTGCCAACAAATGTCAGTCTTTATTTTATTCAATAGAACTTAATTCAACACTACCTCAGGAGAAGAATAAATAGTTACGCGAGAAATTGTTCTTGTCGAAATTAGGAATTAAGCTTGTGAGTGACCTGGATGGTGCACCATATATATATATAGGAGTACATCTTACAGAGGTAAAAGGAAAATGCTAGACCGTGTGTGTGTGTGTGTGTGGGCGTTTTGTTTTTCCCTTTAACCACAAATTCATGAGTTCAAGAAACTTGTTCGATTACTCATTCAATTTTGCATTACTTACCATGATTGCCACTCCACAGGATAGTTAGCCGGCTGCGATTGTTGCATGCCACCCACTGTCGCTGTGACGTAGTAGATGCAATTGCCATTTGGATTAATAATAATATCAATCAAGATCAAGAAAAAAATTATTCCTTGTTTCTTTTCTGATACTTGGGTATGCCTTTCTAAAGAGAAGACACACGTAGGGTATGGATTCTCGTTTCATTCCATCTAGTATCTTTTAGTCGATCGTTGCTGCAAATGTTGGTAATTAATTAGTCTTAATTACCTTTCTTGATGATAACAACACATTTTTTTTGGGTACATGATGATTTTGCGTTTCAGGCAAGTGGAGCTGTGGATCATCAGTACCCGGAGGCGTTCTCATTTGATGATATTTTCCATTTAGCTACGGGGGAGATGATGATGTACATGTCTTCCTTGTAACAGCTCCAGCGCCAGCGCCAGCGCCAGCGCAAGTTCAAGCAATAAGATATGAGATTAATTGCTGCCAAGTCTCTTTATAATTTCTTAGACCGAAATGTTTATTTATTTATTTATTTTGGGTGCCGTCTATCTCTGATCTGGAGGAAAAACAGCAGCAAAAGTTGCATATGATATTATCGCTCTTTTGTTTATTTTTATTTTCAGCGTTTCGTCTTCCATGTCATCTTTAATCTCTTGCATATGAGTTTTGTTTCCATTTAGCCATAATTAATTATGCGCTTGAATTGGTAATCATGATGATAAAGAAGGAAACTTCTTCATGATCAGCCACCGGTTGTCCAGAAAAAGTTTGTTCCACATTGCAGCAAGCAAACATGGTACTGTAATGGCTATATATTTTTCTAGTGTGTTGAGCCCACCTGACCTGACCTTCAAGAAATGCATTTAAATCCGAGATAAGTATCTTTTCTGATTGTACCCGTGAGTCGAGAGAAGCCGCAGGGGCCCGGCCCAACGGCTACGCCGTGGCATCAGTGATTGTTGGGGCTCCAGTTTGGACTTTGCGTTCGTTAATGGACACGAGAGCCCATTAGATCAGTGCAAAGCCGGGGGTGGTTGACATGTAATTCTGGCGACAGATTTAAGTTCTAGTCTATTCATCAAACTTTCAGCAAGCGAAGTTTCTAATCCTCCAGTCGGGTCTCATAAGGATTGATTCGGACACCTCTGTATCGATAAAAAAAAAAAGTTTCTAATCCTCCCTTGGACTATTAGACTAAGGGGGGTGGTATGGTATATCATATGATGCCAGGTGCCAAATATTTCCATCGAAATGGCTTTGGTATGGGACGATTAAAAAACGATTTTTTTGGTCTTTAATCTAGATCCGTTGGTATGGGAAAAAGAACATACAAGTCATGATTGGCATGGAAGCGACGCGATGATGGGTACTTTGGTTGGAAAGCTTCTGTGGACCTTCCCATACGTACGTTGAGCACTTTTTCGGGGCCTTAAAATCATTTCTGATAAAATCCACTCTCTAATAATAAGTCTCCAGCGTTATTCTTCTTTTATTTATTTAGCAATCCATTGCCCCTTTTGCACCGCTATATATATCGGATCGGATGTCCCTTTTTTCGTCCGTATTCAATATCGTATGCATCACGGTTCGTCTTTTTCGTCTTTTTTTTTTTTTGAAACTTTTCAGCTCAATTGATTAAAAACTGTAGGCGTAGTAGATGTCTCTCTTTTTTTGGTGTAGCCGCATAGGTGTGAGGTGTTGAGATAGCTAATGAGGTGATGCCCCCAGCTCCCAGAAGAAGTTGCCAAAAATCACAGCTAATGAATGAATGAATCTGCAAGTGAAACAGTTAAAAAAGTTATTATGCTTTCGAAACAAGGCAACATTTTGATTGTGTGCCTTTCACATCACTCCTAAACATGTCAATGTCAAGGACTAATCCATGGGCCAGCCCATCATGTTCTTCTTCCAGTGCCCTTTTCGTTTTGTTTAAAGTTTGACAGCAAGCATCTTTTGACGATTTGAAAGAAATTTTCTGTGCAAGAAATTGCTTGCAGTTGCAGGCAGAACAAGGTATTCCACACAAGTATTCTTTTTGACAATTTGCTACTACTGCTCCCTTTAATTCTAAATCATAAAGTCAAACAATTGTTTATGCTAGCAGTGACTGAGGATGGGAATGGGTTGCTAAATTAACAAGCTCTGACTTCAAATTAATTGTTTGAATTGCATTTTTCTGAATTTTTTGTAAAAAAATTACTGTAGCAATTTAATATATATAGAATAAAAAGATGATTGAAAAATATGTTCACCGTAACAATTTTTCTTTAAAAAATTAGCAATCCAAACACACCGACCCGATTTCAATTATAACATTGACACAACTTACAAGCAAAGAGTTCCATCAACTGTTTGAGAAAACAAATTGAAATTGTGGCCCATTTTAGAATTAACGCCATGATTTGCTTGGACCAATTTTCCTTTTTTAACTTCTTTAAACATTTTCAGCCAAAAAAAAAAAAAAACTTACTTACAGAGGAAAGGAAAAAGTACACACAGAAGCAAAACACCTCCCCCACCGTGTACCCAACATAAAACTCTCTCTCTTTCTCACTCAATTTTTACTCGCTCGTCTCTATGTTCTTCTTCCTTTTTACTCGCTCGCTCGTCTCTATTTTTGGGGGCTTTTTTTTTTTTTTTTTGCTTTCCCAAAAAATACACTACTACTAGTACTAGAAAATACCGCTACTACTGGAAATTACACTCTACTACAGCTCCCCAAAAAAACGGAAAGAATGAGAAGGTTGAAATCATCCATCATGTGAGTCAAAACGCAACGACGTCGCTGCAACCAAAATCGTCCGAATTTCCAATTGAGACCTCCGGCCAAGAATCCCGTAGCAACTTCAACAGCATTTGCGCTTTTCTCTTCGCTCGATCCGTGCAATCGCTCTGGACCAGCAACAACAGCTGAGTCAACACCCCGGCGACCACCGCGTCCCGCTGTGCCTGATCGGAAGCCGAGCACAGCGACACTAATGCCCCGGCCGCGTACTCCGTGGCGCGGTCCGATATTTTTAGAATAATTTTCACCAGCAGCGGCACCGTCAGCGCGTGCGCCGAGAACGCCTCGCACCCCGACGGAATTCGGCAGAGCAGCTCCACCGTAGCCAGCGCTCTCTCGGCATCGCACTTCTCGAAGTCCGCCAGCCTGTCAACCAGCGCGTCCACCGCTCCGGCGGTCACCGCCCTCTGCCGGTGTTGCTTCACCAAGCACAGGGCGAACAGAGCCTTGACTCCGATCTTCGACGCCCTCGGATATGCCAAGGGATAGTTGAGGATTCCGATAACCCCCTCGAATATTCCCTCGGCATTGCTGACTTGAGAGCGGAGCTCCGGCGATCTGGTCCCGGAGACGGCCATCTCGATTACTGCGGCCGAGTTGACTCGGACGTCAACTGAAGAATGACTGAGCAGGGAGACGAGATATGAGACTCGGTCGGGATCGGAGGCGACGAGGGCGCACTGAGGCTCGGAGAGCTGGAATAAAGCCAAAAGCGCGAGCGCCTCGTGACTGAGGTCGGCGGAGTCGGAATGGAAAACGACGGAGAGGAGGAGCTCAGAGACGTTGTTGGCGGAAATCAAGGCGCGGTTCTTATCGGAGTCGCGGGCGAGCGCTCGGAGCCTCCTCAAAGCAGAGAGGCGGGAGGCGGGAAGGGCGGAAGCAGAGGAAGCCTGGTGGAGCAAGGAGCGAACGAGGGCGGGGTCGGCGGGTTGTTTAGGAGTGGGGATTCGCTCGATGCCGAAGGAGCGGTTGGCGACGCACCAGTCCTGGATGAGGCGGCGGAGGGTGTGGTTGGGGATGAGGGTGAAGTCGGTGAGTGGGACACGGGTAACAGGGCAGGTAGTGTTGCCGGTGGCGACCCAAGACTCGATGCTGGCACGATCGTAGGTTTGGCCAGTACAAACAGTGACAGGGTCCCGCATCAGCTCCAGAGAAATGGGACATCGAAAGTAGTAAGGGATCTGAACTCCCACGTCCAATGGCTCTAAGCTTCCCCGCATTCCTTCTGTTCCTCCTGTTCCTACTTTGTCCTTGTCTTTGTCTTCGTGGAGTATCTCTCGCATAAATATTTTGTCAATTTTATGTATGTGGATTGTGGACAGCGATGCAGGAAAGAATGAGGAGGAAGGCAAGAAATAAAGCCCCGGGGGGGTCACTGCAAATTCTCTTTAGGGAATGTTAATGTTACCATGACTTAAAGATAATGCTGTGAGGACGGGCTAGGGCCGCAGGGGAGGGGGCGGGCGGGCGGGCAAGGAAATGAGGGCCAGCTTCTTTGCACTTCCTTCTTTCTTCTTGGAAGGAACACAACAGGAGGCTGCTCTGCTCTCTCGCTCTCTCTCTCTCTCTCTCTCTCTCTCTGCTATGGGTTTGTTTGTGTCTCTTGTTGTGCCTGTGTTTTGGTGGGTTTTATTCTGACTAAGGTGGCAGGCAGCCTGCAGCCCCACACGTGTGGTTTATTTTTATTCTTTTTTTGATTTTACCGCTGCTGGCCTGGTAGTGGTAGTAGTATGATGCTAATAATGCTGGTACTGCTGCTTGGTTTTTTTTGTTTTTGTTTTGTTTGGGTTAATGCTCTACTACTACTACTTAATAATACTACTGACTTGACTGGATTGCTCCAAGTTAGCTAACCAACAAGGGCAGGGGAAGGACTAGGGAAGGGTGAGGGGTTTGATCAGGGTTGAGTTGATGGGGATGGTTGCGGTTTGGGCCTTTGGGGGGTTTTGGCTGGTCAAAGAGACATCGAAGACCGAGTGGGGCCATGAATTATGCTCATATCTAGCTCCTGTTTACATCCGTTGGCTTCTCAATGGTCCAATCGTGCTCCTTAACCGCCTTGTATTGATTTGATTCTGGGGTCCCCTATCCCCTTTGCTTCTAGGCTTCAACCTCTCTCCTTCTTTTACTTTAATTCCCTTTTTTTTTTTCTTTTTCAATTTGTATCATTCTTTTGCTATCTTAGACCTTATTTGATAATTCGATTTAGTAATTAAATTTAATAAATTTAGATTTTAGTATATTCAGACCATTTAATAATAAAAAATTAAATATCTGAATTAATTAAGTAGTACTGAATTTTTTAGATAAAACTTGCTTTCAAACTTAAGTGATAAGTTATTCACTTATCACTGAATGTGATATGCATTCAAATATATTAGATTTAATACTTAATAATTTAATAACTTAATGAATTCAGATTTTAGATTTCAAGCTTCAATTTTTAGATTTCAATTTTATCAAATGCACCCTTAGTTGAGTTGTAAATCCAATATATATAGGGGGCTTACATGAGTAATATAACTTGAAATATGCCATCAGATTCCGTATAGATTTTTGTATTATGAAGATACAGTGCACGTTTTTAGATTTTTTGCAAATTGGCCTTGCACATTGTGATATTCTTGTATCCTTTTATTCTTTGTTCTTTTCCTATCTCTCTTTCTCTTAGTGATAAGTCTTAAATAAAATGATTTCTTAGTTAATTTCATAATTGCTAAGATGTTGAGTTTGACTCTTAAATCCTCTCTTCTACTCCCTTCTTTTTCGTTAAGCTTGAAATCTCTTTTTAAATAAAAAAAAAAAGAAAATACGGTATATTAGTCAATATTCACCGCTAAGAATATTATATTATCTTTTTTTTTTTAGTGTTTTTTTTTTTTTTGGGCATGAGGAGAGCAATAAAATGTAGTTGACGAGAGGCATTAGTGGTCCTAATAACTCCTTAACCTTGGAAGTTTGGTGGTGAGACCAACAACTCATTCCCAGCAACTGCACCCTCCCCAACCAAACAAGTACTGCTACTGCTACTATTATAAGTTTACTGTAAAGAGAAAAATTGTCTGACGGAAGTAGGAATGGGTGGCCAAAATTGTTGTATGCGTACGTACGTCAAAGGAATAATATGGCAGCAGCAAGCAGCGGCAGCAGCTTTCTCTTCTCTTCTCTTCACTTCTCTCCTGTGTTCAGAAGGAAAAACAGAGTAAAAGCAAGTAATACAGTCTAGTACTACTGCTACTTAAAAATATGTTTCCCGACTCAGCAGTCAGCACTGAGCGGGACTGCCGCTGCTGCTGCTGCTGCTGCTTTGTTGCTATGCAATTTGTGGATTGGTGGCTGGAGCCTGGAGGTGTGTGTCTGGAGTCTGGACGCTGGAAGTGTGTGTGGGGGTGTGGTCAAAGGTCAAAGGTCAAAGATAAAGCAGAGGAATGTGCGGATGCTGGGTTGTCTCTCCAAACCTCTTTATTCCAATACTGAAAACTCCTTTCTCCTCCTCCTCCTCCTTTCCAAAAATATTTTGGAAAAATTATCCAAAACATCCCTCATATTTTATAAAATAATTTTTTTATCCCTTATTTTTAAAAATATAATTTTATATCCCTTACATATTCACATCGATCAAATTTAGTCCCTAACTAGATTTCCGATCATTTTTTACCGGATTGCACGTGATCATTTTTTAGAGGTAAATTTGTTAAATTATATTTTGCATAATCTAATTTATTGTCCCTCACATTTCATAAAATAAATTTTTTCGTCCCTTACATTTTATAAAATGATTTTTTTCATCCCTCATATTTCATAATATGAATTTCTCCATCTCTCACATTTTAAAAAATGAATAATTGTTAATATGGCTATAGCTTATTATAGGTAGGACATTAACAATTATTTATGTAATTGGGCTCGATTTGTTGGCTATCTTCTCTTTTTGTATGATTCTGACTAATATTTACCAATAGAACCTTAATTTGCATATTCTTATTGTATTTTGACAGAAAATAGCTTTATTGGCCAACTGGACAATGAATGCAAAATTTTTTACTAACTAATACCAAATGAAATCATATGATTGCATATAATACATGTTATTCGTATTGTTAAGTGAAATCAAATAGACACATATATGTGTTTATACTATTCGTATTATTAAGCAAAATCAAATAAACATATGCATGTGTTTAAAAAAATGTATTTACACACATAATTAGTGAAGAATGATAAATTTATTTTTTGAAATGTGAGGGATAGAGAAATTCATATTGTGAAATATGAGGGATGAAAAAAGTCATTTTATAAAATATGAGAGACAAAAAAATTATTTTATGAAATATAGGGGACTATAGATTAGATTATACAAAATATAATTTGACAATGTTACTCATAAAAAATGATCACGTGCCTTGCACGTGATGGAATCTAACAAAAAAAAGATCGAAAATCTAATTAGGGACTAAATTTGATCGATATGAATATATAAGGGATGTAAAATTATATTTTTAAAAGTGAAAAATAAAAAAATTTATTTTATAAAATATAACAGACGTTTTGGACGATTTTTTCAAATATTTTTCTACCTGTACTGTATCTGTATGTGCATCTTTGCTGGCTTTCATTAGTCGTCCTCTTTAATCTAGTGGATAACACCAAGACCAATCAGGGACCCCCCCCCCACCCCCCGGGACACACCACAACGCCCACGGAGGCCGGGGAGGAGATGGGGGTGGGATTTTCTGGACTAAAATATTGGGGCCCATGCAAGAAACGATGTTGATTAAATGGGTCCTACTACAGGCACACGTTCCCCAAGCCCCACAGAGCCCTCCTTTGGATCTCATTTTTGCATCACTCAACAAAGAATCTATTTTATCCTTCACATGTTTTGCTGTAAAATATAAGGTAAGAGTAAGTGAGCAAGACATTTGTTTGGTCCACGGGGCCCAAGAGGAAGAGGACCCTGCCTGCTTTGTCTGTAGTCAACCGGGCAATTTTGCCGGTACAGCTTCAAACCCCACCCCCCCCCCCCGGGTCAGTCCCCACCCCGTGGCCTTTGCAATTTGCATCAGCATCAGCATCGCTTCCCCCACGCACGTGCTCCCGGTTAACTAAGCCCCCCTCTTTTCACCACACCTTTTGACTGCTTAAAAGGTTTTTCCGATTGACCTAACTCACAAGGGAAATAACCCCATGCCTCCACGCTACCCAGCTGGTTCTGCTTCTGCAGCTCTGCTCTGAAGTCAAGATTTGATCAAAAAAAAATTATACGATTCAAATCTCAATTGTTAACAATATATGTAAAATTCATAAAATTTTATTTTAAAATTACACGCTATTAAATTAAATTATATCATGTGCAAATAAAATTACGTGCCGTGCAAAATGCACGTAACTGTCGGGATCCTGCCCGTGGTCCCTGAGCTGCTTGCTTGACCGAGTACGGAATTCCTCTTCAGAATTTTTTTATTATGGTAAGTAGCGGTAGTTTTATTTATTTTTAGTGAAATGAGATTACATAGTGGAGTAGTGTATATTTTTAATCATTAACATTTTGAAATCTATTACTCATCCTATCTCATCCCTTTATTTATATATATATTTTTTAAAAATATTTTTCTATCCTTAAAATTTTAGAAACTTCCGATGGTTTTCAACATTACATGCAATACAAATAAATTCTTTGGAGGGGGTGTTGTATTGTACCCTATGTTTTTTATAGCTTAAATTTATATAGCATTTTGTTTTTTTTTTCTTTTACAGCATTATGTGGTGACGTGCTATGTCTAATGAATTCCCACCAAGGAATTAAATAATGCGAAGCACACGGGACTTGCTGCTCCTCAACTCTCTGAACGTACTTGCCAATGAAATGTTAGCCATGTGATTCTCGTATGATGGTGCTTATAAGATCAAAGTTTCGTTTGCCATTTTTTAATCATATTGTAATCTGGAAAACATGCTCAGTCTTTTACGCGCTAAGCATATATCTTTTGACGAGGAATGGTTAAATTCTGAGTGTCGCGGACACTTGTACAGTTCAATTTGAACCTTCGCTCATTAAGTGTATATTTCTTACACAAACTAATATAATCAATTATCGTTTTCAGAAAAAAAATAATAATTTGGAAAACATGCATTTGATAAAAGTAGTTAAACCCCTCCCCCACCTCCCCGCTTCTCGGTTGTGTTTTTACTCTTTACAGCTCTTAATTGTGAAACACGGAGAAAAGGAGGTGTTAGACAAATCGAGATGCTAACCATCATTATTGCCAGTATCTTTTGCTCCAATGTAAAATGTGTTTTTAAACAAATAGAGAATTAAGCATCAAGAAAGCCGTCATATTGGAGTATGTACACTAAGGCTGCAGCTTAATTATAAAATATCAAAAACTTGCTTCTATTTTCATGCAATTTTTCATTAAGAAGAAGGAGAAGAAGACGACGACGCTTAGAGTAATTTGTAGAACTGGTAATTATAAGGATGAAGCTTTTAAGCAATAATTTGGATGAAAAGGACTTTATCGTATTAATTGTCTTCTGCTAACCAAGAGAATTAAACAAGCCATGGGTTCCGCCCGCGACTGCTATATTAGCTCGTTTTTATTCACATCACTATGGCTTCATCAAATTGCTAATGGGGCGTGATCTTCCACAAAAACCTTCTGTTTCCCACAATTAATAAGGAATTTTCTTTTCTTTTCTTTTCTGACGGTTCCTCTCGAATATACAACAGGGAATAACCACTTTTGATAGGTCAAATATATATATATATAAAGTGGGTAAAAAGGCAGGAATGTTCCGTGGGAGCAGTAAATTATGAATCTAAATTTTTGACGTGGCTCCCAACAACATATATAGATGTCCCAGGCTTAGCAAGTTAGCATAGCATCTCTCTGCTCTATCTGCCTTTAAAAGTTAAAACAAGACAAGACGACCAGACACCATGCACTTCACTTCCACACTTTTTCACTGCAACTTTTCCCTCCATCTTTCTTAATCACGTACTACCATTTTTGTTGGGCCTGCAGGTAAATTCCATATACTACACTGATTCATGACTCAGATAGGAGTACTAGTGTTCATCTAATCATGGCGTGCGAGCTTCGATACCTAGGAGATTTTAACACTTGCTATATTAAATTTCAAATGAACAAATTCTGTCT